TATTGAGTGGGAGGTGCTGCAACAGCTTGAAAAGATACAAATTGCCTTGCTTCCTGTTTCTACCACTTGTGCTCCTATATTAGCACTAATGGTATAGGATAACAGGTATCAACTTGGAGAATACTGTAGCACAGGGGTGTCCAGGCCTCGAGGGCCGGTGTCCTGCAGGTTTTAGATCTCACACTGGGTCAACACACCTGAATCAAATGATTATTTCATTACCAGCCTCTGGAGAACTTTAAGACATGTTGAGGAGGCCATTTAGCCATTTCAATCAGCTGTGTTGGTTCAAGGACACATCTAAAACCTGCAGGACACCGGCCCTCGAGGCCTGGAATTCGACACCTGTGCTGTAGCACGTCAGACAATGGTTATGGGGCTGTGATCACATCACGGTTGGCATGTGCAACAACCAATGCAGTGACTATAAACAGAGCTTTAGTCACTGTGATCCGCTTTCCTTATTAGAGCTCATGGATTGAGCTTGTTGTCCAGTTTTTGTAAGACGGGTGTGTCTGCTACAGACCTGCAAGTCAGTTAACACAGCCTGACAACAAGCCTGTTAACAGTAGCTTTGCTCAGACTTTACTGTTTGCCACAAATTATTGTGGTATTTGAGCTAATTGATGTAACTGCACAATCATCCATATTGTCCTGACTGAAGTGTTGATTGCAAGATTGTGTGGTTGTAGCTTTAGCAGGGAGGATTGATATGTTTACTGGGTCTTCTGCTAGCTTATCTTTGAACCAAAAGTATTCCAGCTAAGCTGTAGACATGATATACTGTGTGTACTCATTACTGATTGACCTTTACTCATGACTTAACCAGTCAGGTAGTTATCTAGCCAAGTCCTTTCTCTAGCACACCAGATTTGATAGCTGTCATCAAACCACATAGGCGTTCCCTATCCTGTCCAACTTTGCCCTTAACCTATTCAGTAAATCAAAATTGACAACAAAATAATGTTGTTGTTAAAAATGTAACTAACTGCTTGTTTATAGAGTATTTAGCTTCACATTGGCACAACCAATCATAACCACAAACCAAAACTGTAAAATGTATTACCCCAGTAAAAGCTACTGTTACAAATCAGAAACAATGACATAAATTATTAAGAACACGGCTTTGTTTTGAAGAAGCTGATAGCTGTTGTTTTCAAAAGGATTCCAGTCATTACCATCTGAGCTTGCTAAGAGCCAACATTTAGCAGCCATTACAAAAGCTGCATCATCCGAGAAACATTTAACCACCGCCAGCACTCAACTATCTGAGTTACATCTTGATGGAATCATGTCATAACTGAAATGAAATGTTCGTGTGAATCACGATGCTCCCTCACAGTAGTTAGATGTAGTGTCAGTAGTTTTCCACGAAATGTGGGTGAAAAGCATTCATTACCTTAGAATTCAGTGTTTTTCTTGCACAGAGAAACAATTTTTGGCCTTCACCAAAGAGGTTTTAGCCAGAGCTAAAGGAAAATCATCAGTATTGTAATACATTTCTTTGATTTTGTTTATTTGGGTGGAATTTACTAAAGTATTTAAGCAATCATTTTTGTCTATTTAAAGACCAGGAATGTGTACAGGTCTGTTATCTTACTGTACATGGACACATTGAGCATACTCATATTGTCACCCACCAAAGGCCCATTTTTAAACCAGGAAAAATCCTGATATAAGAAAAAGGGCAGCCATTAGGTATTTTACTACTTACTATGTTACTATTGTTTAACTTTTACATCTCTGGGTGCACATGCTTTATGGCAATGTAACTTATTAGAAAAAATTGTTAAAATTGAATGTTGATGTGACGTTATATCAACCATCTCACAGAGATGCTAGAGTTTTAGTCATGCTTAGTTAGTGTAAACTGGCTTTACTCACATACAGCCGAATTGTAAATGTTTATGATTCATATCACAAGTGAAGACCCATCATTATGCACAGCAATCCATAACACCACTGACTCTAAACCTAATAAATGCTCTCATAGCCCTCATTATAGAAACTGCTAGAAATGGAAACTATATGCCTTACTGCCTTACTTGTTTTGTTAAATTTCATTGCTAAAGTAATAGATTACTCTGTGAATTTTATGTCATCCATAGTTATAACTCTTCTGCTAACAGGGAGTCAGCATTTATGCTGCATTTTAGTTTTATGGGAAAATCTAATATTTGGCTTAAAAAGTAGCTTTTCCTACTAAATTCAATTATCTGCCTGAAAAATGGCCTTGGTGTTTGAACTTCTCACACATCTTTAAGTAAGGGTGCTACTCACAATTGAGTGGTAAAATTGGTTACATTTTGATGAACTTCGTGCTTTGCTTGCTCTCTACAGGTGGCCTAGAGTGCTCTGCTTCTGGTTTCCAGCAGCAATGACACAGAGGAGTGGACAGGACGACCCGGAGCGGTACCTCTTTGTGGACCGCGCTGTGGTATACAACCCGGCAGCACAGGCCGACTGGACTGCCAAAAGGTTGGTATGGATTCCATCAGAACGCCACGGCTTCGAGGCTGCAAGTATTCAACAGGAGCGTGGAGATGAGGTTGTGGTGGAGCTAGCAGAAAACGGGAAGAAGGCGGTGATCAACAAGGATGACATCCAGAAAATGAACCCGCCCAAGTTCACCAAGGTGGAGGATATGGCTGAACTGACCTGCTTGAACGAGGCATCCGTGCTTCACAACCTCAAAGACCGCTACTACTCCGGCCTTATTTATGTAAGTATTTGTATGTTATAAAGAAGTACAACAATTCATAAGAAATGTCTTTTTCAGCAGTTCAGTTGTCATCATTTGACATGACATGACTTACTTTACTGTGACTTGTCAGTATAGGTTTGGTTAGGTTGGTTAATGTGATTGATGCATGTAAGTAAGAGAATAACTATAGTCAATTATTTTTTGTGATTATGATCAGGTGCTTCCCACTTTCTTAGCAAAGAGTCATGTCTATTCTGTGTCACTGACATGTGAGTCTCAGGTGATAGTTTTGCTAGCCAAAACCAGTGGCGTTTAACAGTGAGAGAGAGGGTCAACTGGAATACCCAGTTCCATTCATTTTACAAGGCTTTAAACATAAATGGTGGATTCCTGGTAAAAACTTTCATGGAGAAACATCACTATTCCCCCCCCCCGAAAGAAAAAGCTTGGTACACAATAACTTTGCTAATTTAATGTCTTAGAAGTTGTTTTACTGGGTCCGTTATATAATAAAAACAAAGATTATTAAACATGTGGTTCATTTTAACCAAAACAAAGATAAACTAACTTCCTCTATTTCACACTTGATTTTCTTAATTCAAGAGTCTAAAAAACACATTTCCTTCAATGAGCAAGCCTTCGTGTCCCATATTATCTGCTGATTTCCCCTGTGATTATTACCCACTTAATGATACGCATTCCTGGAATAGCACAAATGCAGAGGTTGTGGGCCACCTGAGACCCAGGAAGGAGGTACAGTTCGGCTGCCATGTTCACACTTGAATGCATGGTTAGAAATGAGAGGTATTTTACTTAGAGCAGAATGTGAGGCTTGTGCAATTGTGTTTTTTTCTTTTAGTTCATAATATTTTATAATTTAGCTTGAAATTATTTGGTTGAAAATTATTTCAGATTGTTTGTCTTGTTTTGAAAAGTGTAAGCGTAACTGAGACTGCTTTCGGCTCAGCGATTTGTCCCGTGTATTTTTTGGGCTCGGATATGTTGCAGGAGTGACATCACATGGTCATGATCACTTTCTTTCTCTAAATCCGATGTGCTCTGCTACTGAAATTTGGCACCCATTAATTTAATATAAATCTGGAATTGGCAAAGCCAATTTATTTGGTCACTAGCTCCAAGAGTACAGAGGTCTACCTAGCCCTGTTAAGTAAAAAATCAATCAATCAATAGTTAACTGAATTGGATATTTTTTTCTTCAGCTATTTTGATGTATTTTATCAGAATATTTAACTACTAAGTGTAAATATTTTAAACAATACTATAGACTAGAGCTGGGCGATATATCGAGTTTTTAAAAAATATCGATATATTTTTATACGGGATATAAGATGTGACAATATCCTTTATATCGATATAGTCTATGTTACGTTATAATTATACTTGTGGAGCCGCAAGTTTGCCTCTCTTTCGCCCACTTTTGTCTTTACGCAACGTTACTCGGCCGCGCCCCTCCTTCACTGAACACAACTCCCCCTCCTCCCCCATCACTTCACCTGCAGGAAGCGACAAGATGGACACGGCAAATCTCCGTTAACGAGTTACTGCGCATCGCCCCGTGCGTGGGGCTGGACGCCGTCAACGTGTTAGCTAGCTAACCACGCTAACGAGCTAACCACGCTAACGCCATGCAGCCCAGAGGCGCTGCACGGCCTAAAATCCTTTCATTTTCTCAAAAGTTGACAGCGCGCCTTATGTATGAATTCTGGTTGTGCTTGATGGCCGCGAACCAATTTTAGGTGGTACACGGCGCTCAGCATCTGTCAAAAATGTTTTAGTACGACTTTGGTAAGCTACGGTGTTGCTGGATTGTCAGAGCATTACGGCTACCGAGGAGCCTCGCGTAGTAATGCATACTGTGCTTCAACGTAATATTACCGTATTGTGTATAACGACCATAAATGGCACCTGTTAAGAGACGTGGTTACGAAGAGGATTTCAAACTCAATGCTGTCAGTAACACAGTAGAAGTTGGGAACAGAGCAGCTGTGAAATCTTTGTTACTATGCTCTGTGTCTGTTAGTTTACATTTTGACTGCACAATTGTGAGCTTTTTGTTATGCACAAAAACAACATTGTTTTCTTTTATTTATGGAGCATTATTATTTAATAAATGCTCATAATTTATTTTTGATAAATGGCCTTGACATTAGTGTATGTTGGGAAGGATTTAGGATTGTAAGTTTTGCCATGTGTTTGGACAGCATCAGACCTTATGAGAAAAATCAAAGGACATTTTCTAATGCAGATCATAT